TCTGAATTGCTAAGCATATCTAAATAAAAGTAGAAATTCAAATATTAGAACTTGTCTTTTTAAATTAACTTACATAAAACCAACTCTGCCTTGCCTGAACATGTTTTACAGAAAGGAATTTTCTTCTCTCTTACTTCTGCTAGCCCTTTACAGAGGTTTCATTTGCTGGGGTGGCTTTTTCTGCCTATGGGGAAGTGGGAATTTCTGGGCTTAACAAGCACAAATCCCCATGACATATAGTTCCAAATTTTAGAGGCAACTAGGGTTTTGATTCTTACTTTGCTCCCTGTTGGCTTCCTCCCTGATGTATGCAATAGCTGTTGAATCTCAGCTGTTCCAACAGGAGAGAAAAAAAGGTCCCTGAAGGAACAGCGTTAGTTCTTCCAGTCACCTTGCTGCTACCACACTCCAGAATTCCAGGCACATGAAACAGCACATAAGAAGAGCTTGCAGCAGCAAGAGGCCAATGCAGAAAACATCAGATTGGACCAAAACCAAGAGAGTCTTCTATATTCATCTGGTAAGAAGTCTGTACTTATACTGGGTAGTAGAAACCTAAGGGTCCACTAAAGATAGCCATTGCAAGCAATCTCATTAACTTCTTGTCATAGAAATCAACTTCTGTGTTTGTTTTGGGTTTTTTTTGGTTTTTTTTTTGTTTGGTTGGTTTTTTTTTTTTTTTTTTTTTTTGGTTAGGTGCAGTGATGTTCTCTGGTCCTGATTCATCTGAGAGATTGGTTTATTGAAAATATTTTTAAAGTTCCACCACAGTTTACTTACATATCTCCTCTTGCTAACAAAACATGAGGAAAAAAAACCTACTTCAAACACAACTACTTTAATTACTTTGTATCTCGAGACTCACTAAAGTTTATTCAATGCTCAAACACTCTACATTCTACATTTAAAAAGTTATTCATGTCTTATTCTAGTGCCCTGCATTAGTTTAAAGTTGCACTCAAAACCAAATCAGGATAGGGCACATGAGAAGAGATAGAACTTACAACTTTGAATGCAACATATTCCACTATTTGTGAATGCTACTGACACATTTGGGGATGGGGAAAAGTAGCATATTTTCATTCACATTACCTAACCCAGGTGATGAAAATGCTTTAAAAGCAATTAGGTAACAAACACAAAGACACAACGGTCCTCAGCTAAGAAAATGAGTCTTTAATTTTTAAAGGCTGGACAAATCTATCTTTAGAGAGTCCAAGCCATGTAGTAAAATCTTACGTAACTTGGTTTTGTTTCAAGATTTGAGGAATTCTTCCAGTTGCCTACTTAAGTTCAGGTTTAAACTAACAAAACCTCTGCTTACATATCATGGCTTTCATCATTCCTCTTGAAATTATCTTCTGCAGATGGGAATCCTGCTGGCACTCACATTTGTCCTGAGAGATGATTAGGACTGAAGGTCTCCCATTTAACTTCTGTAAATGTACTGTGAGTAATTAGACCTAAACAAAATACTATCAGTTCCATTAGGGCTCGGAAAATAAGGTAAGCACTTCTTAGGACAGCAGAGGCAAGAACAGATATCTCAGCAAGCACAGTTCATATCTACCTACCGACCCAGTAAGTCTCCACTGGTTTTAGCAAGTTTAGGAAATAGCCCAAACTTCCAAATAAGAAACAAACTATCCCAACACTGACACTTTCAATGAGAAGCACCAGCATTTGGCAGGGGGGTTTGGGCTGCAGTACTCAATGTTATCCCCTGACAACCGGGGCTGAATCTACGTTTCACAATGAGGCACTGGTTACATTAGTGGAGAGAAAGCATTTCACCGGGGTTAAATTTCACATACCCTGGGGTACCCACCCCCAGCTCAAGGATCCCCTCATCAGGGCCAAGCCTTTTCATAGCAGGGAGTGTAATGTGCGAGAAGAAATTACTACTCTTCACCAAAAGTAACAACTCTTGCAGTGTGATTCATTCCACAGGCTAAAGATCAAGGTGTCAGCTTACTCCTAATACTGATGAAAAAAGGTAGTCAGCCTATTTATAATCAGCTAGCATTATATTCTCTCGAGAAACAGTAAGTCAGCAGCTAGCCTCAGGTGATAAGTAGGGGGTTTCCTTAACAGTCCTTTTCATTGGGACATTAGTTTAAAAAAAAAAAAAAAAAAAAACTGTAGAAAGACAAAATGCAGTTGTGGTTACAAGAAAGGGAACATCTTAACAGAAGCAGGGGCAGGGGGAACTAATTAACACTTTCAGCTTGTGCCCCTTCACCCCTGTGTGGAAATTCTTTTCTGATACACACATTGCCTGCCTAGGGCTTTTTGAGAGACCCTTGCACATCCTCACTGATTACTTCCCCTACTCAGGGAGACAGACTGTCCTTTACCCTAAATGCTTTTATCCTCTTGATGAGGTCTCTTACCCAGCTGGATCCTGCTTCCTTCTCCCACTGCAATCTCCGAACCTAAGAGAAGACACCTGGGGACCTTCCACTTTGCTTAGGAAAGAGATTCAATCCTTTCATGTCCTAGCATGGGGCTGAAGTGATGCACATCTCCCCCCAACCTGAACACCTACAGTTACAGTCCTGGGTGACAGATATCTCCAGCTGAAGAGAAATCAAAGGAAAGGGTTTTCTCCACTGTTTGCTGCTCTTTTAAAAGCAGGTGTAGATAAAGAATTGAGGAAAGCCCCGTAGGGAATAATCCTGCCATACCCAGATTTTAATGAGGCTTAAAATCTCTTCTGTATCTAACCTTAGCTAAATCACATCCCCAATGTCCTCTGCCCTCAGTTTTGCAGGGTGCATTTCACTCATCGCCCCCCACCTCCCAGACTCACACGCAGTGTTCAGTCCCACTTGGTCACCCCCACTTCTGCTCTCCCTAACGCCAGAGGTCCAAAGGAGGATGCCTCAATGGTTCTTTTGACTAAATTCTCCAAGTGGCCTGTGGAAGGATTCTAGATTTCATTTCCCAGGCAAGCTAGGTAGTGACTCAGACAAGCCAACAGACAGTACTCTGCACAGACAACAATTTTTATCTTCAAAGTGCTTTACAAACTTATAAATCCTTACTTCCCCTCTGAGAGAAAAAAAAGAAGGGGAAAAAAAATCCCTAAACATCACCATTGTGATGGAACAGAGATGCAAAAATGCCTAAAAGTTCTTTCCTGTTGGAGCAGAGGCAGAGGAGAGGAGTCCTGGGGTGCAGCAGCACTTTGGGTTTGACGCTGTTTGTGGCTTTTACACCAAAGACCTGGATTCAAATCCTGTTTCACATCACTCCAGTAGGACAGAGGCTCTTAAGCTGTGGCCAGCAGGTCCCTTCCCCAAGGGCCGTGGAGCTGGAGCTCTGAGAAGCAGGTGGCAGTATATGGGTGTCTTCCAAGAATCCACTTGCCTGTTCAGACTGCAAAAGTGCTGCACAATTAATTATACATCTGTGCTACAAAAGATCAACTCTATAACTGCAGGGGGTGCTATTCATCAGCCTTGAAACGTATTGGCAGAGGACAGCCAGGGTCCAGTAGTTGAAATAAAGAAATAAATAACTACAAAAGCAGGAGGTGCTCTGGGTCTTTAGGAGTGAAGTGCAGCAGCAGGACCCAAGTGACCCGGGAACGGAGAGAAGCCTGGCCCTGCAGACAGTCGGGACGCAGCGCTTTTCACAGGAGCTTCAGGAATCAGAGCAGTAGAGAAGCCACCGGTCATCGGGGTGATCAGGGTGACATGCGTAGGCAGAGCGGTGGCAGCAAGGAGCCTGCCTGACACCTGCCCTTTTCGTTTCTCAGCCCTCCCCTTTCATGGAGGCAACAAAACACCACATTCCCAGTAGTGAGAATCCAGTCCGAAGTGGCTGCACCAAAGGGCGAATTCGGAAGGACCCCCTTTCGCTCATCGCTTTCTTTTGAAGCCCTCCTTTCCTGGAGCAGGCATTTAGCAAGTACAAATACGCCACAACATTAGGCATCCTTCCACTGTCACTCTCCACTATCCTTCCTCCTCCAGACACGCACACTAACACAAAATGACGGCTTCCTCAACAGACTGAATGAGCAAAGCCCTCGCACTGATCCTTAATTGTCTGCGCTTTACTCTCTTGCTCCAGTCATATTATATCACAAAACTCAAAGCAGCCCACCCACTGCCCCCGTCTTTGTCCAAAATCTCAAGTGAACAGTAAATTTGACACAGGGAAAAAAAATTACCAAAGAAGGGAGGGGCAAGCTAACCCCCCACTTCCCCCCCCACCCCGTTTTCCTCCTCCCCTTTTTTTAAAATTTTTATTTTTTAAAAATATTTTTTAGGTTGCTGTTTGCTGGTGAACCCATACTGCTATTGTGCAGCTGTCAGTTAAAAAAACAACAATCACCAACCCCCCCCCCAAAAAAAAAATTAAGAAATTAAATAAGAAATCATATTTCACAGCCCTTGAGAATGTGACCCTGAGGCCTTGCCCTTCTCCCTCCTGATGCACCCACATATCACGGGGGAATGGCAGGCCCCCTCCCCATCCACCCCGTGCTACTCTGAGCCTGCAGAGCAAGGAGAAAAAAAAAAAAAAAAACAACCACATCCAAAACCAAAACAAAATAAATGTTTAAAAAAATCATCAACGAGAAATACATGGGGAAGCAAATAGGGAGGGGGACACCTCTCCCCCCGGCATATGCATAAACCCCATAACCCATTTATGTCGGTCTCGCAGGAGCCAGACTGCAGCGAGCAGCCAACAGCTGGGGCCTTTGAAAGGGACAAGGCGAGCGGCTCGCCGTGCCCAGCCACGCCGGGCTCCGGCTGCCCCCGCCGCCCCCAGCCCCCCGCCCGCCCGCAGCCCCCCACCCCGCCGCGGGCACCCGGGTGGGCACGGCGGCGTCGCGGGGGCGGGTGACACGCACGGGGCGCCGCAGACACACGGCCGCCACCGCCGCCGCCGCGCGTGGTCGGCGAGAGCTGGCCTCTGCAGGGCAATTTTCCACTCTCAACTTTCAGGGAGAGGGAGAGAGAGATAAAGCCCATTTACTGTACCTTTCTGGCATCTTTCTCAGCTTTCCCTGCTGCTTCTCCCCACCCCCTTCCGATTTATCTCAGCTACTGGTTTTATAAACCGAGAGGGTGGAGGGGGGGAGGGAAGAGGAGAGGAGGGGGCTTTTTTTCTCTTCTCTCAGCCTCGTCTGCACCTTCTGCTTTGAGCCCGCCGGTGAAGTCACAAGACCGAGTCTCTGACATCACACAGAGCCCACAAACGCCGGATTGTGACTTCACTGCAGGGTAGAACAGGGAGGAATAGGAGAGGGGAGGGGAAAAGGCTCTTATTCAAACACATATCTGCAGTAGTAACAAAGGGAACTCAGGAAATGGCTGGCCAAGAAAATGGCTTTTTTTTTTTTTAATAAATCATACTTCTTTTTTGTTGTGGGTTTGGTTTTTTTTTTTTGGTGGTTTTTCTTCACAAATAAACTTTGTGACCACAGTGGAAATACCTTCTAAAAGTGGCCTGGGCAGGACAGACAGCAAGCGCCAGTCCAGGCGCCATCCTCCAGCGCAGCACAGGCACCAGCAGCTTTCTGGGACAGTACACCTGCCATGGCCCCTCTGGACCTGCTGGGACTGGAGCAGGATGAGGTGCTGGGGTGAAGATCAAGGGGTGGCAGTGGCCACAGGAGAGGCTCAGGGGGGCATGGCAGAGGGGATGGCAGGGTAAGGATGGAAACAGGCAGATGCTCTGGGTTGTGCCCGAGACACACAGGGAAGGCAGCGCTGAGAGCCACCGGCAAGCAGGGCCACGCAGAGTGAACACAACTCCATGCCAGAGCCCTGGGAGCTGTGGGCCGGGCAGAGGTAAGCCTCATCAGTGGGCACTTGGGGTTTCTTCCCCCCACCTGAGGATCTGAAATCACTACTAAACTACAATTTGAGAAAAAGCAGTCAGAGTAAAGGTAACAGAGTTGTATGTAAGGCCTAAGCAAGGCAATAGGGAAAAGAGTGGAGTTTTTGATTCCCTAGTGTATTTTTAGGTTTTAGGTGCCCTGGGGAGGGGAAGACAGACTGGGGTAGATGAAAGAAAGGCCAGGAGACTTTGATGTACTCCCAATACAATGCAATGCTCGGATGTTGCTCTGGGAGCAAAAGCTGATGATATAAGACTTCTGCAGTCATTTCTGAAATGGAGCCTAGAAGAAAAAAAAGGCTTATTAAGTAGCTATTAGCTTAATGTGACCTGGAAAGTTGTAAGATTTGGGGCTTTTTTTTTATTGTTTATTCAGCTGGTGTATTTTTTTAACATCAATTTCTCAAAATTTAACACCACCTCAGACATGTCAGTAAATAAGCCCGAAAAAATAAAAATCTGTTCTTTGTGTTTAAAATGTTGGGGTTTTTTTCACCTTTTGAAGCAAGTCAGCTCAAACACACTGTGCTAATCATGCTGGAAGGCCAGGAATTCAGAGGAATAAGTCAAGGGCACAGCCAAGAGAAATTAAAAATAAATTTTAAAAAATTAAACTGTGCTAATTGCAGAATGCTATATTTATGAAGTTATTGGAACTGCAGAGCCAAAAGGAAGACAGCTTGTGATCCTCACAGTGTGTCCAGTCCTCTCTCCAACCTCCATCCATGCCCTCATCAAGACCTACAAAGCAATTCCCATCACCGTGTTGACCTGGAAGGGAGGAGAAAACAGCACTACCATCGTAGCTTGCCCTTTCCACAACCTGCCAGTGAGGCAGGAGGGAAATCTGTATGTGGAGCGAGCGCGAAGTGAGAAGGAAGCAATCCAGATCCCTGCCATGAACCAGCTGGCAAGTACATTCCCAACTTGCTGCTGCTGGATGGTGGGAGCACCCATGAGTGCCTGTGGTGCCCCAGAGGGCTGGCACCAGCACAAAACCCAAGACACTTGTCAGAAACTTTTGTACCCCAGCAGCTCTATGTGCTTCCAGCATAAAATCCAGGCATCCACAAGATGGTCTTCCAGGTTGGAGCTGCTCCATGGCCAAAGCCTCTGTTCCCACATCAACTCTGAATCCCAGTGCCTTAGGGCATCATCCCAGCCCTGGCAGAGCCACTGTGTTAGGGAAGATTTCCCCTGTTGTTTTACAGTGTCTCCATGCCAGTACAGCAATAAACCAGGCTGAAATGGATGGAATAAACTCTCCTGCCTCTGCTCGTGAGAGGGAGGGCAAAGGTATGAATTGCAAGCAGGGAGGTCCCCATCCAATCTCATATCTTTCAGGACGTCTTGCTCCTTGTATGGCCACAACTTTACTACCATTTTTATATCAACTCCTTTCACTTTTTTATCTATTTTTTCCCACCCTGCTGACTGCATGAGAGGTAACCTCCATGTTTATCCCACTCCTCCTCTCTTGGGGAATCTCATTCAACCTGCCTGTGGCAGGTAGGCAACATGGCTGCCAACATGCCAGGATGCAAGGTGAAGAGGTGAATGGGGGAGAAAGGGAGGCACAGGCATTTGCTGGGAACAGGAAAAAAGAAGGGGGAAAGAGCAAGGAATCTAACACATACACACCGACTAGCATGGGCTTGCTCCAGCTTGGCCCACGATGCAATTACCTGACTTGGAGGCTGGCCAAGCCTCCCAGGTTCAGTCCCTCTGCTCTTGTGCAAAACGCTGTCAGAGCTGTCGGGACTGTGAATACTCAGGACTCCGGCAGCATGCCTCATCCAAAAAGGAAAAAAAAAAAAAAAAGAACAGAGACAGGGCAGGGACTGAATGGGCTTATTTTCACACAACTGCAATTGTTTTGTTGATGCGGAAAGGTAATTAAAAAAAGTTCTGATTTCAAACGTGCCACAGAATTCCCAGAGCCCGGAGGCTGCTGCTTAGAGGCAGATTAATCACACTGAATTCTCCATCTAGATATTGCATGCACTCCAAACTCCCACCGCTAATAGCTCTAATATTCTCCTCAGCGTGTGCATGCTGCTGGTGTTATGTTCCAGGAATATTAATTCCCCAACTCGAGCTCCTTTTGCTTGCGCATGTACCCTAAAGGCTTGCTGCCGGGCACTGGGAGATTATGGAAAAGAGAAAACAGGGCTAGAGGAGAACCAGGGTGCAAAGGTACTGGCTGCAACTCCTCAAGGAAAGTCATTAATGTTCTTTGGATAAGCAAGCCGTCCAAATAAAATCTACCTGAAGGCCAAGTTCTTTAAACAAAGACAGCCAACTACACACGCACAAGATGGTTGAAATTAAAATGAGCTCCCAGTGCTGGCTTTGTGTTACCCATTCCCACTACCCTGAGACTTGCTCAGAATCTCAGTCCTGTTAACTGTGAGCTCTGAACTAGCAGTTTCTTCTGCTGGTGTCTTCCCCCAGCCCCCTTACACCTAAGCAAGATTTCATGCATCTAAAACTCTTGCTGCCACACAGCAGTAAGAGTGAAAATATAGCAGGTTGTAGCACTTTACACAACAAGTCCCCTCTATCCCTAGCAAAACTGACAGGCTAGGGGGTCTATGGTCCAGCTTAAGGCATCCCCAAGATCCTCATTCCACACAGAAAACAGGAAAGGAGAAGGTGAAGGCAGGAGGGAAACATATAATTTTTCTCTGCATTCAACTAACTGCCATTTCTGATAAGCAAGTCAGAGTTGTGTGTGATCTATATATATGGCCAAAAGGCCAGCTGCTAAGCTTTAAAACCAATGCACGCTTGAGAAGTACATTTAAGATGCCTATGATGTAATTTTCAAAGCTGCTAAATGCCCAATGCTTCTAGTGCTGTTCAGCAAAGACTGCAGGTAGTCACCAGATTAAAACAGTTCCCTAAAACTGGCTGTACCAGGACTCTGGAAATTACCAGAAGAGACCTCAAAAACGGATGGTGCCGGTCATGCTTCCATTTAGTAGGATTACTTGCTTGACAAGAAGCTGTCATAGGCATGATTTTCTTTGTCAAGCAGTCAAAATATGTATATCCATGTAATATAAATTATGTCAGTACTGGAAAATCAAAAGGGGTTTGTCCCTTTTGTTGCCAGTGTTTCTGATAAGCGAACCAGTATGACTTCTGAGTCACAGGTTAAACTGGATGTTCAGACCATCCCATCAGCTGTTCTCACAGCTAAGAACACCTTACCTAGTCTCTGGACTAAAATCTGTAACACCACAGGTGCACAGGCATAGGTGGTGGCCCTCTCCATAATCATGGCAGGTCAAAAAGAAAAGTCATATCTTTATGGCTAAATATTTTACAGAGGGCTGTTGTTGCTTGGAGAGAAAAGGATAGCAATGCTTTTGAAGCTTCTTTTTCTTGCTATCTGTACCATGCAGGTCTACAATCATATGTGCACCTTGAACTCTCAGCCAATTCCTTAAACTTGGCTTCTGCTGCAGGGAGAGAAAGGACAGGACTCCAACTGAGGCACTGTCTGTGTAAGGCCCTTGGGGCTTAACTCTGCTGTAGTGGGCAGGGAGAGGCATGGGTTTCCTCCACTGTGATAAACCAAGGCACTGGCATCACTCTGTGTAGCTTAGGTGCAAATCTGTGATCCTCTTTCTCTCTTTATGCACAAAGAATGAAATTGATAGCAAAGCTGACATCTAAATCCTCAATATTGCACACCTGAGATAACCCCAGGTGGTTTTGTTTTTCAAACTCAAATATACAAGAAGGGAGAAAGACAGAAGGATTTCAACCCTTGTCAAACCCTGTCGCCAGCTCCCTGAGTTACAGATCTGTGAACTCTTACACAGGATGAGGGCTCTTTGCTTTTATCTCCCTGTGCAGTGTGTGTCCTCAGCCCTTTGCAAACAGATGTTTTGCCCTCTGAAAAGGAATAGATGGAGGGAAAGAGAGCATGAGCACAGGGGAAAGAGAGAGAGAGAGAGCACGAGCATGAGCAAGAATGCTGTCTGCAGATGTCAATCAGGACTTCAGTCTAGGTCTAGCCTGCCAGTCCTGCAAAAGGAGGATACATGAATTTTCTAGTTGGATAGTCAGTGTTATCAAACAAGAAAATTGTGAGGTTTAGATTGTAATGCAGTCTCACATTCAGTAAAAAGGCCTTGCTACGTGGAGATGATGTGGGACTGAGGAGCCTATTCCTAGCACCTTAAAAATTAAAATTTCACTACAAATAACCCAAATGCAATGGTCAAAAATAGTACAGCATTTCAGACCATTTTTGTAGAGCATGGTAGTATTTGGCAAAGGGAAAGTGATTGTAGGTAGAATACTGTCAGGTTTGGGGAAAGCTTTCTCTGCATTTAAAAATTTATAAGAAGGAAAATATTCTTGGGAATGAAGCCTAATGATTACATGTATATAGAGTGTCATCTCTATCTTGGCATTTAACAGAAATCAACTCCCCCATGCCAACACCCTCCCCTCCAGCCACCCACCCTGATATTCTTCTTCACCACTTCCCACCCATTAACCCAGTACCTGCAGTGCAGTGTTCAAGTGGGACTGGCGGAGCTGCTGCCGCTGTCATCTCCTCGGAGCTGGCAGTCACCTGCCAATCTCGCCCCCACTTCCTCCTCCCTCCTGCTCCCCCCCACCCCTCGTCAGTGCAGCTTTCCCTGGGGATAGATCTCTCTCCCCCCCACTCCAGCAGCCTCACAAATAACTACTGTTAACTCAGTAATATCCCTCTCCATGATTTTTTAATTACCAGCCTTCCACAGGGCACGAGACTCACACATACAGGGAGAAACGGGCCAGAGAGGCAGGCTAGCAACAGGGCGTTGGAGAGTCTGGGCTGATGTGGGCTTCAGCTGAGAGACGGCTCCTTGTGCTGGAGGAGGCTGGCACAGGCAGCATGCAAACCCCGCGGGACACTGCCACCCTGGGCACGGCACACATAATGTGCCACTGTGCTTGAGGAGAGGGGGACTTGGTCCTGGCAAGGGCCGGTGTGGAAAGCTGCTCCTGCAGGACAAGGGGATGTGCTGCAACACCAGCTGAAGAAGCATCATTCATTCAGGACATATTTGTTTATACGGTATTTTTAATGGGAACCAGAAAAGGCGGGGGAGGGGAGAAAATAATAAAAAAATCAGGTGCATTTCTATTTGTGAATCTTCACCAAATACGTCTCTATTTTCACATATGAAAAGGCCTTTTTTCCCCTTTGCAAGACAATAATCTTATTTCACCTTTTTTTGTGTGAAAATTCATCGCTCTGTGGCCTGAGGCTTTTTCTTAGCCTTTTATTAAATGGACACGGCTTACTGAACTTTCAGACAACGTCTCCACCTAGTATTTGTTTGTTCACACCCATTTACACTCTCTTGATTTTTAACAGGTCTGAATAAGGTTTATTTTTTTAAATACTCGGTTAATGAAGTTTTATCTGAATAGTCATAAGCCTATTAGTGCACAAGTTGTGCATCGAATTCCCCCTCCCCCCTAGAGGTTAAACAAGACCAGAAATCCTTTTGTATTTGAAATAACACGCTGAGAAGAAAAGAAGCAAAGAAGGATAAAAAACCCCAAGCCCCCCATTAGATCCCTTTTAAATCAAAAAGAGACACCAGAAAAGGGGCATAATGCAAAGCGCTTTCTCAGTTTCCCCCTCTTCATTCTTCTCCTCCCTCCTTTGTAGGTCACCTTTACTGTGATTACATTGATGCTTCAAGTCTTCATTTGCTTAAATAAAGGAGTAAACACCCCAATCAGGTAACCACTGTACTCCAGGCAGGCAATGAACGGGGAGGGACATGCAGGAAGGGAGGCACCTTGCCTAAGGTGAGCACTGGGTCCTCAACACACAAGTGGGACTGGGGCGTTCCCTGGGAAAAAGCAGGTGCTTTTGGAAGAGAACAAGTTTGACAGCATGGCACTGAAAACGAGTGGAAGGGGAGGAGACAGACATGCACTGCTGAGGGATGGCCCGCTGGCCTCTGCACCCTGGGAAGGGCTGAGGGCAGCAGTCAAGGGGAAGAGCATGGCAGTCGTGGCCTAGGAGTCCTTTGGCAGCTGCCCCTCCATCCCGGCAAAGCATCCTGGCAGATGAGAGAGCCCCCGCTCCCCCGAAATAAACAGCAGCCTTCCCAATGCTTCATTAAACTAACACAGCTTCCCGCCATTGCCCCGGCAACCGACACAGGCCTCCTGTTTGCCAGCTGGGGGAATTAAAGGAAGCCTGGCAGCCAGCCCCTGGCTCCTCCAAAAGCTCCCCTTACACAGTCAGAAAGCATCCCCTGGCAGGGGAGGGGACCAGGTGGCTCCCAAGGTGCCAGCTGAGATGGGGGAGTCCTGCCCACCCCCACTCTTGCAAGCTACAGTCCCCAGAGGGCCAAGCACGCTGCCACTGCCACCAGCACTGCTGCTGGAAGGCAACACAAAGCTGGAGGGCTGCCAATATGGTCCCCAGACTGGAAAAGGACTGAATAACCCCTGGATGGTCCAATAGTGCAAAGGTGGACACTACTCTCCTCCACAGCATCACTTCTGTCCAAATGTGATCAATAGTTCACATTAATTAGCAACACATTCCTCTTGCTGCCCAACCACCAGCTGAGTGAATAAAATGCATCCTCTTGTCCCTGGTTTTTCTTAAACTACATATACTGTGGGATAAGCCTTAGCATGACCCCCACTCCCTTCAGTCCCTTGGTGGATGCAGAAGGTGCCAACAGACCACCAGCTGCCCCACCCTTTGCTGCTCACCCTTAGAGAAAGGGTTTCAGGAAAAGTTCCAAATGGAGCTGAGTTGTACCAGCCTGTGAATGCCCTCCTGCTCTTCTACCTGTTCTCAATCCATCCGTTCAAAACAAGTAGATGGGCCTGTCAGCCAAGGCAGAGACACCCCTCCACACATCCTCAGAAAAAGAGCTCTGCCCAGATCCCAAAATCAGACCTGCTGTAGGTGCAACATACCAGCTGCTTCCAGCACCTTCTTCCCACCACTGTTCCAGGCCACTGAAACCAAAAAAGAAGCTTGGCAGATTGGTGAGGAGAGGAAAACATCTCACTTCAAAACAGCAATGAATGAAGCAGTACTATTCACTTGCTTGGGCATCCACGTCTGTTTTCTCCTGTTTTCCATGACTACTGGCTGCGAGCAGAGGTCTCACAGGGAGGAGCATTAAGTATTTATTCCAGCTCTTGGTTTGTTAGCTTCTGATGCCACCAATGTGTTTGATTCTGCTTGAAAAACTACACTGCTTTTTTTATTTTTAATCCAGGGATCCCAAAACAACCATACAAAGGTACCTCCAATCTCCCCAACAATAGCCTAGCTTTCTGTAGCTCTGCAGCACACATTTCATAACAAACTTCATTTTGTCTGGAGAGACCCATTTCAGTCCCACCTCTGAACAATGGAGTCCCATTTCAGTCCCTACTCCTCTCTTATTTTGTGATGATATTTAGCTTTGTGAAATACTACTTAGCTACATTTAGAACAATTAAGGGAAAAAAGGAGGAAAATAAAGAAATTAGTACATTCCAGATTCTGGCCACAGCTCTGCATCGCATGAGGAAGTGGGATGTGGAAAATGTGGAGCTGTTTAAAAGCATTCAATAACACTCTCTAGAAATCTTGCAGGGGCAAACATAAAGGTAGTGAGTCCAAGCGGCCTTAGAAAAATTAGCTCAGTATTTCCACCTCAGTGACAGAAGACAGCACTGTAGTTAAAGGTGTCTGAACAAATCTTGAACAGAGGGAAACAGGGGTAGGATAATACAATCAAACACCTTCCTTCAGTGCAAAGCTCTCAAAAAGAAGTGTTACAGACTGTGAAAGGGGCATCTTTAAGGTTAAAGGGACTGTAAATTATAGGGAGGAATACTGCCTTATCTTTGATGAGGGATGTAGAGAAAAGGGGACACTTTACTCTGCTTGCAGGAGAAATTAAAAGGGGAAGATGTGAGTGCAGACTACTGCAGGTAATAGCCATTGGACTGAGGAGCCTGGTAAAAAGTTATAGGCCTGCCAGTGGTCCTGGCTTAGCCCTGTCTCCTTCTCTGGAGGTTTTTTATATTCTCAGCTGATATGGGCCTCTGACCTCGCAAAAAATCTCATACACACAGAGAAAAAAAAGACAGATTCCTATTTCTTAAGCTTTTCTTTACAGCAATAAAAGTCAGATCGTGGAGATTTAAAACCAAATGCTTTCCCCAAACGTTTTCCCCAAAAGAAAGCCAAATTATATTTTTATTTGTTTGGGGTTTTTTTCCCTTTCAGGTATTGCTGAGGTGTGGAAGGAGAGGTGGCTGACAAGTCCTGAGGCAAAGAGAGACCTGCAACAACAATCGGGACTGGTCTATGCCCTGTCCCCACCTCTTCAACTGGAAAGCACTTGCAGCCTGCTGTTGCCAAACCTACTTTTATTCTTTCCGTTCTCCTCACTAATTAAACCTTCAGACA